TCGAAACTTGTTTTTCTGTATGCTACTTTGTACAATTTATACTACAGGAATGGCTTTGCGACCGTTCGGAGATAAATAACAAATAAACACCGCTACCCGCAGGATTGCTCAGCACTTTCCTCCGCTATACCATACACCATACGACTCTCTTGTGCTCCCACTTGCTCTTTCCAGCCCCTAGAGGTCGCCTCAATGCTCTGCCACCTGATCCAAGCGGTCCCATCACTCCGTGCGACGCGCCGGTCACGTGCTAATTACCTCCGGCCGCTTGCTGACTGATGCTGACCTCATGGTGACTCGTATACGTCCGCACCTTCGCTATCTTGACGGAAACGAGGGGGAGTGAGTGCTGGAGGGTGGGCATGAGGAAGACGCCCCTCGATAGAAGAGTCCGCGGGTCCCGGAGCTAATGCAGCTAGAAGTCGCATTGGTTAAGTCGCTCCGGAGCTCCTGTTTGCGGAGATAAATCGCGGAATGGGTCCGTGTACGCCTCAAGGATGTTCGGAAGTCCGGAGCTAAAAACAGAGCAAGTCTTTAGAGCCCATAGAAGCCTAGAGGCGTGTGAGCGCTGTGTCGAATAAGCTCCGGAGGGCTTGTACGATGCACTGAGTCCGTGTTTTCGGGGGTCAGACTATCCCGAGGCTTATCATCGGGCCAAGCTTTCTCGAACATGAGAAACAGTTTCTGAAAGGTGGGAATGCTGCTCGGTGCTCGTTTCGATGTTCTTCTCCAGTTCACTGACGCGATCTTCCAGAGCGGCAACTGAGGGTATGATTTGATCAAGTGTGAAGAGTGATGCCCTCTCAATAGCGCACAGCCGATTTTCTATGGATCTCGGCCAGTCGTCGACTGTCCCACTGGATTCCACAACCGACGTGGCAGATATACCCGTGATGCTTGCCTGATCGCGGCTCGACGATCGCCGCCTTTTGACATCTTGGACACGATCGTCTGCAATATAGAGGTCACACAAGACTCCGACTGCACGTATTTCAAGGGGAATCACATACCACGAGCATCGGGGATACCATCCATCAGGTGTTCGACCACTTGTGAGTCAGTTACCTGGCTATTGAGAAACCCATGCTGATCATCCAGCAGCCTTGCGATCGAAGTTTAGAGGTTATGATTTGTGATAGAAGGAGTAATGACATACTCTCGGGTTCGAGCTTGAGCTGCCTTTGCGGCGACTCTTTTCATTGTTATCCCTCTTCGTGTGACAAGGACTCGTCTGAACGGTGATACTCCCAGGTTATGAGATTGGATTCGACGCGGCGTGATGCGACGCGACACAACACGACCGGACGTGTTGTGTTCGCATGTTTGGCACTCGCGCGTCCGCTGCGTCCGAGAAATTTACATCTCGTCCTCGCCACCATGTCCTCTCTGCAAACAGGTTTCTCTGTTTCACCAACTGTGAATCGTGCAAACAGTGCTGCAAATAATAGATATGAGCCCTACCCTCGAGTGTCTAGCGCTCATAGATCTTTTTCGGACGGCCTAGGATCTGTCGACAAAAATACTATCCCACCTTCGCAGATGCCCATACCAGGCACCCCGCATCATCCATCTGGTGCACGAGATATAGAACATTTGTACCCGACATTCACGCCGCGTACTGGTGGTGCCCCCCTGGGCCATTCCAACAGCATGAATATGGGGACACAAGCTTATGTGACCAGTGCAGATATCGACAGGATGGTTAACGACCACGGACTTCTGAAACAGCGTGACCTTGTCCATCGCTTCAATGAGGTTTGTTGTATTCATAAGCTATAATTGAGCGCTGACGTATCATGGCAGATGGCACATGATGAGCGCCTGCTGGTGCTTTTCTGTAGCTGTCTACACGCCTCGAACCAGAATCAGGCTCTTACCGACACGCTCGCGGTTCTTAAAGAAAAGTTAAACACCATTGAAGCAAAGGTAGATCAAGGCTGGCAACCGGCGGATGACCATGAGGTGAGTGCGTCAGTGCCCTGTGCTCTCCAGCAGCAACTAAGCCCCTTTTACAGGCCATACTGAAAGGGTTACTGCGTCATTACATTATTCAGCCACAGTATTCATACAGTGTCGTACCGAAGCAAGTTGGAGTAAGCACATCATTGTCTTGACATATCTCATTCATTCATAAAGACTATACTCTAGAGGTATATCTTCGATCACGCAGACAAGGTTCGACTTCGACTTTACGTGACCGATGCAACAATACGCACCCGGGTCGATCAATGGGTAAACGATAAGTACAATGAAGTCAAGAGTGGCCTGCGGAAGGCAGTGCGTCAGACCATAAAGCATTGGCCCACGAGTGATACTTATATCATGTTCAGGTATGGACATCAATCACGAACAAGGTGCCGCTCGATGACTTCGCAAGTACTATTGTCAAAAGCTACCACCTTCCCGTCAAGCCCAAGGAGGTTCCCCAAGCGATCATGGGATCTTTAGCCTTAATGGTATGTATTTGTATTCAAACTCCAGATGAGCTAGACTAACCAACGCATCAGCGAGATGTTGCTGCCCCGCTAACTACGAAGAAGGGCGTACGAGGCGGTGACACCGGCTTCTGGAAGGCTCTCGAAGCACGACTAGCAGCGGTAGTGTCTCAGCACGGCACTACGCGGGATAGCTCGGAGGAATGGAAAACGTGAGTGCAGATGTTATGATCTAGTCTGTGATAATGATGACGGGCAACGTATTCTAGATGGGAGAAGGACATCATCGAGAAGGACATCGAAAGATACCAACAACGCAGCGTCAGCGCTGCACCAGCGCTGCAGGTGGATCTCAATGCCAGCCTGGTAGAGGAGATGCGGATGATGGAGGGGGAACATGTTGTCGCCTTCGGCGACAGCTTCGATATGGCTAGCCTAGCGAGGGAAAGCATGTCTCAAACAAAACCATAGTTCCTTCAATATATTGCAAACTAGTAATACATCGTTGTCTACTGGCAGATTATACGTGGTGGAACGGAGAGATAATATGCGACCATGCCCTGGCCGCAATGGTGGGTGGAGTCACGTGGGTTGTGAGTGACACAAGCGGGGAGATGGTTGGAATCCAACAGGAGCACCGCAGACAACAGCTGCGTGCAAATTTTCTGGGTATCTGTTGGTAGGGCCGTCGGAACCTAGGCATCAGTGCTCCATAGGATTTCCAGCACAGGTCTGTCTAGCTGTGTAGGGCATATGTGAAGATGTTATGTAATAGGGCTTATATAATGCAGCTTATTTATAGATGTGTTTCCTAATTAAGACGACTAGTGAGGATGAGGACGCTCTGAGACGGCTGGCCCAACTCGTCGTCCGAGGTTTTACCGGAATTATGTAAGGCAGCTAAGCGACTAACGACGCGTCGGTTTACTGCCGGTTTATCGACGTTCGTTGACTGCCCAATTCGGATTTTCGAAGTGTTCTCGTCGGCGTCGTCGCACCTCAGCTGCCTTTGTCCTCTGCTCTCACGCGCGTCGATGGCGGAGCATATGAATTCAGCATTAAATAGAAAGACACTGTCTGGTGTAGTAATAATACATAAGGAGTCTAAGGGTCTTTTGCTTTGTATTCTCGATGGATAGATTATTTTGAATACATTGGTAAAGGGCAAGCACCAGGCTCTTCAATGCAAAGTAGCCTGACACCTTATGACATGAGATATTATGTTCAATCTCATTTGATTTCGCTAAAGAGATGGAGACAGTAGCTTCTTGAATCTTGTAGTAAGAAATTGTTCACTATTTTCTTTATTGATATAGGGGAGACTCGGCGGAAGTGCATGCAATCCACAACGCAGATATAATACATTATTTTGTTATTAACAGCTTTAT